CTCCCGAGGGTTTTCAACCCCAATCTCACCAAAAAGTACCGTAAACCCTCACTGAATCAACCCTAAACCCTAAACCCCTAAGCCCCTAAACCCCCGAACCCTAAACCCCTAAACTCCTAAACCCCTAAGGCCCTGAACGCCGAAACCCTGAACCCTCAAGGACCTGCTTGCGAAGCTGTGCCCAAAAGATGGAGATCTGATCCTGGCGGCTCTGGTCACTTCGCGAGGGCTTTAGGGTTGAGGGTTTAGGGTTGAGGGTTTGGGGTTTAGGGTTGAGGGTTTAGGGTTTAGAGCTGAGGGTTGAGGGTGATATTCCCAGGGTTAAGGACGCCCTGGAGTTCAGAGTGTAGTGTAGGGCCGCTTCTGGATTAGAAGAGGGCTCCTATAGACCACCTTGATCTTTTTTTCAGCAGGAAACCTCAACCCTAAACCCTGAACATTCATACTAACCCCTGAACCCTGAACCAATGAAACCCGACACCCTAAACTAAGGTTCGGGGCTTCGGAACTACCGCCAATTATCGAGGCTGCCGTGCTGGAGGAACCCGGCGCCAAAGACCGGTTCAGCAGGGGTATAGGGAGAAGACAGAGAACAGAGGGCCAGCGACTAAAACTAAGAGAGAGCACTCGATCTCAATGCGAAGCTCCCAATCGAAACCTCTGCTTTTTTCCCGAGGTGCGCGGTATAGGCCCTAGGTTATGGTTTACGCCGTTTCCAGACCCGAACCTCCACCATAAGCCTAGCAAGACCTTGTTCACCTGAACAGCCGATGTAGGACACGCAGCCACACTGGATTGAAACCCCATACACCCTAAACCTTAAAATTCAATCCCCCCACAATAGCTGAAACCTAAACCCCAAAGCGCTGAAACCTTCAATCCCCCTGAAAAAAAAAGCGGGTTTGAACGAACTCTGAAACCCCAGCGGTCCTCGGGAATGCCCCAGTGAGCCAGCAATCTGGGCCAGGTGTCGGGCGAAGAGGCATAGTGTAATGTAGCGATAACAAGGAAGTCTGAGGAATGTGCTGTAATTGTAGTAAGGAACCCTAAGGAATAGTGTTACTAATTCTGCTATACTTACCATGGGGAACCCTAGGGAAAAGTATATCTAACTCTGCTACACTGACACAAAGGACCCTAAGGAATAGTATTACTAATGCTGCTATACTGACAGTAATAGGGAAACCTAAGGAAAAGTATTGCTAATTCTAAATTTGCTACTCATCAGGAACCCTAAGGACCAGTATTACCGATTT